TAGCGTTAGCATTAGTCTTCAGCGCTGGGCGCTAGTAGCGTAGCTGTAGTCTTCAGCGCTGGGCGCCATAGCTAGGGTAGTACTAGAGAGAGAGAGATTGGGCAGAGACCAGGGATACTTACCTGCAGCGCCGTTGCTCCAACTTCGTCTTCGAGGTACATGCAGCACAGCGCCACCTTCACAGGTTAGTACCTGGCATACGCGAGAGAGAGGGTTCTTCTTCCTCCTCTTCTCAGTCCACCATCTCCCTCTTACCCTCTCATTATCTGACTTCACTGCATCAGCAGACAACAAGAGAAAGAGAGAGGGAGAGCTTGGTGACATTGGATCCAGACTCGACTTTAGGGCTTCAGACATTTCGACGAGGGATTATTTGGGACTTGTGACAAAGACTTGCTGTTGACGACATTCCCATCTCTCCCCAGTCTGATCCCCTCCTCTTCATCTGTGTACGTCTGGCCCTGGCGCTTTCTTCCTGTGTATAGCGCCAGGCCCCTTCACACCTTGTGATGAGCATGATGTATGTTTGGTCTGCGTAGAAACATCGATTGCGTAAAAGAGTTGTCTGGTGGTCCTGCATTTCCACTACATCTAGCACGACTAACCGCAGGGTCCTCACATCATCATCCATGTGTGTCAGGTCCATCCCCTCTAACTCACTAACGTACGCTTGTTTTCACTGCATCCTCGATCTTCTCCTGATCATTCTCTCTTTCTCTGCCTTTATCTCTCCTAAAGCCTGCTGTAGTTGTGCCTCGCGAGCAGCTGCTCGTTGTATGACGACCTCCTCGGGGGTCAACACAAATGGTTGGCTTGCCATAACGCCAGTCGACTGACTAAGGGTGTGTGCGACCATTGACCCTACAGTTCCTAAGCTGCTGGCCTGGGAACTCTGCTGCGCAGCAGTGGCCATGGCTGCTGAAGTAGCGGCCTTGCTTGCAAATGCCCTGCTTGCCTCTGCGGCCCTAGCTCTCAGCTGCTGCTGTTGTCTCTCCCTAAGCTGGCGGAACAGTAACCTGTCACCCTCGGGTCCTAATGCCACGTGGGCTATCGGGCGTCTTGCTGATCGCAACATTCTATCGTTCGGGTTAGGTACCTCCCTGTCGCTCATAAGCTACAGCACTGTACACAATCTGCACTAGAACACTCTAGATGCCTACCACAGCATAGTCCACAAAGCAATTTAAAATAATTGGTGGCTATGTCAGAGACTATTCATTCGGGTCCAACAGGTAAGTCCAGATTCCTACGAACGAAACTCTTTTACTTAATTA